ATTGATAGCGCCTATTTTGATAGTTAATGCACTATTTGTTTGTCCACGTATCATATCATGAAAGGAAAAAGCATGTATATGGAAGATTTCATTTCATCAGGGGTGCAGCGATCAAAGAATTGATGAAGATCTTAAAAGATTTTAATAGCTCATAATCTTTCGAACAGGCAAACAAAGTCATTTCTTAGAAACAAATTTCATTATTATCTTATACTTAATGTTGTTCCCTCATATACAACTAAACTGGAGATATTGAAGTTTTAAATCTTGTTATTGGTTTCGTAAGTTTTGATAACTAATTCAAAAGTTTTTAGTTAGTGTATAGTTATATATAATCTAAAATTTTGTTCTCTTTTGCTGCCTTTATGTAGCCTTGGGTATGGATTCTATAGCTACCTAAGGATGTCTTTGTTAGACCGGTCCATTGGACCGGTCCAGCCGGTCCGTGCGGGACCGGCCCAGCGCAAACTGGGCGGAGAAATCTTCGCCCGCGGAGATGCCGAGCAAGCCGCACACCGTGCGGGAGCTTTTTAGGAAGCTTTTTTGAGGGTTTTGAGAGGGAAATTTGAATGTAGGGACTGTTTATGGATTTCTTTTTGATTTGTATGCATTAAATAGTTTGTTTTCCTAGGGTTTGGGCATCTTGAATTTGGCTGAAATTTGAGATCTCTTAGATTTAGGTTTCTTTGGGCTCTAGCGGCGTCTAGAGATTTGGGAGAGATCGATCCTCCTCTCGAATTGAGGATCAATTGTATCTTTGCTAATTTCCTTGCATCTACTAGTAAAATACAAGTTTTTCCTACGATTTTCTCTCAGTTTTCTACAGTTTTTCCACTGTTTTCACTGTTCTCCTGCTCCGGACAGCAGTATTTCGTGGAGATTTGCTGTAAAGGTGAATAGGAAATACTTGATTTCAAGTATTTCCTATCAAATTGGTATCAGAGCAAGTCGTGGGACCGGTGGAGGGCTGATTTCGGCAAATTTCAGCGGTGATTAATTGCCCGGAAGGAAGGGGAATTGCTGTTTTTGAAGTTCCAAATCTAGAATTTGTGATTTTACAAACTCAGGATTGTGATGGCGGCCAAAAAGGTGGATGCTCTGGAGGAAAGACTTGAAGAGAAGATGAATCAAATTAAAACGACGGTGGAGGAAAGGATTTCCTCCATGGAAGAGCAAGTTGCCGATCTACGAGACATGATGAAAAAGATGTTAGAAATCCAGAACCAAACTTCAGCTTCTGTGGCGAAAAGAATGGAGGGAAAAAGTACGAATTCTGATATTCGTAGCGAGGAAGAGGAGGTGGAGATCGTGGAAGGAGAAGGAAGAAGACCCCATCTGAAGCCTGTCCAGAGGGAAGAAAGAGGAGGATATGAGGAACGCCATGAGGGATACTGTGGTTGGCGAGGTGCTGATTTTGAGGACAGAAGGGGGGATTTTGAAGGAGGTTTGGGCTATGGTAGAGCAAGGGAAGACCGGGAAACATGGGGTGCACCTAGCACTTGGGAGAGGGGAAACTATGGAAGAATCCGGGGCAATGGGGGCGACCAAAAGGTGAGGAAGTTGAAGATGCCCATATTCGAAGGAGAAGATGCGTATGGGTGGATTTACAAGGTGGAGCGATACTTCGCCGTCAATGGACTGACGGAGGGGGAGAAGTTGGCACAGCTGGTAGAAAATCAGAATAATCTGGAGAAGGGAGCCAGGAGCAGCAGCTCAGGAGGCTCTTACAAGACTACGACCGCTGTTTTAGCACCCAAGGGGCCTGCATCAGTCAACATTAATGAGACCACCAGGGAGAAGCCATTAGGAGGAGGGAGTGGGGATAACTTCAAGAAGCTTACTGAAACAGAATTACAGGAGAAGAGGGCAAAAGGACTTTGTTTTAGATGTGACGAAAGGTATACGCCGGGGCACAGGTGTAAGGACCGAACTCTTCAAGTCCTTACTGTTTGTGATGAAGAAGGAATGGAGGGTGTCGTCTTTCCACCTTGCGGACAAGGTGGATCTTCAGGAGGGGAGTATTGTTAGACCGGTCCATTGGACCGGTCCAGCCGGTCCGTGCGGGACCGGCCCAGCGCAAACTCGGTGGAGAAATCTCCGCCCGCGGAGATGCCGAGCAAGCCGCACACTGTGCGGGAGCTTTTTAGGAAGCTTTTTTGAGGGTTTTGAGAGGGAAATTTGAATGTAGGGACTGTTTAGGGATTTCCTTTTGATTTGTATGCATTAAATAGTTTGTTTTCCTAGGGTTTGGGCATCTTGAATTTGGCTGAAATTTGAGATCTCTTAGATTTAGGTTTCTTTGGGCTCTAGCGGCGTCTAGAGATTTGGGAGAGATCGATCCTCCTCTCGAATTGAGGATCAATTGTATCTTTGCTAATTTCCTTGCATCTACTAGTAAAATACAAGTTTTTCTTATGATTTTCTCTCAGTTTTCTACAGTTTTTCCACTGTTTTCACTGTTCTCCTGCTCCGGACAGCAGTATTTCGTGGAGATTTGCTGTAAAGGTGAATAGGAAATACTTGATTTCAAGTATTTCCTATCAGTCTTATAGTTGTTTACAAATTCTAAAATGATTGCAATTAGATTTTCTCTCTTTTCTCTCTCTCTATCTCTTTTCTTTTCTCCATTGTTCATTCTCTATTTTGTAATAGAGAGGAATCCCACTAGCCTTAACTGGTTCATCTGTTCCATTTGTGGTTAATTATGATTTTCCGCTCCTATGCCATGATGCTACTACTATGTATTTCATATGATGTTGTTCCACAATCTGGAAGGGACTAGTATGATATGTTGTTGTCTTAAAAGTGAATTATGGGAAGACCTGATATCTAAAGCTTGAGTTCCAACAAGAAGGTTGAGCCACAAAGAAGGATGTTGGAAGTGAAGTGCAAGATTCAAGGATTTATAGGTGAAATGCAAGACTCAAGTAAATCATGGGAAGAATAAGACTAATTTGATTGAAAAAAACTCTTAAATTTAGCAGGGATTTCAATTAAGAATTGTTGAAAGATGTTCTTCACCCATCCCTAGGTTGATGAGATCCAAAGAAATAAATTAGAAATTCAAACAACCCAAATTCAGCATCAATTGTAATGTAGAGTCTCCATTGTATCAAAATTTAGCATAATCATTAATACGAGCAAGCCAATAACAATTTATGCAGGAATATTTGGATGTAGAGAAAAGTTAGCAAGGTAAAAAAAAATTTAAGCGTCATGCTAGTATATAAAAGATGTCTTGACCCAGAATCAGGTATTCACACTTGTACCTTACTCAAATGAACCGCTCATTTAACTTGTATTCAGAAGAATTAAAATTGAATGAAAATGTTTTTATTCGATCTAATGATATCGAATTTCATGATATAGATCATCTATATATAGGCTTATGATCTCTTGGTTAATTGATATAGTTGGCACAATATCAACCCAATTTGATTCCAAATTGCCATCAAGTTCTCGCTTAAACATTATCCAAACATCAGAAATTTAAAAGAACTCCTCGAGGCTCTGTTTGAGACAGCTTAATTACAACTTTTGAGGTATAAACGCTAAAGCTAATTCATTTATTACGTTTGGCTTCAATGCTCAACTTAAAACAGTTTGATGAAAACTCCATTTAAATGAGATTTCTGAAAGCTTTCCTAAGTGGTGCTTTTCTAGTGCTTTCACGTTTTTGTAAGAGCAAAAGTCCCAAATACCGGCCCCCACGTCTACATGAACTCTAGTGACGTCTCCAGCTTTGCAATTTCCGCCTTCACATCCCCAAGAGAGAGGCCGCAATTTTTCTCTTCCATCCCTCTCATCGCCATCGTATTTCAAATTCTTCCATCTTAGCATTCCACATCAACTGTCCGCTGCATGGTGCCCTACGTATGTTCATCTTCTCCTTCTTTACTGCAATCCATGAGTTATTCCTCCTGCCTACTTATTAGCAGGATTATTCCAACCGGTTATGTTTTAATTTTATGTAGCACTTTTGTATATTGAGCTGCAGATTAGGTAATTTTTAGGATTTTACGAATTTCTCACGCACCTGCTTATGTCCAAACATCACTCTACGCCATTTTTGATCCAAGGTATTTGTTGAAATAATATTTTAGCCTTCTGGATTTAGGTTTCGTTGTGATATTTCCTTGTCCGTGACTCACAAATTTTCATTGTAGTGGTTATTTAGGGTATCATGTGAGTTTACCCACTACTTCCCAACTCATTTGCAGTATTCCATTTTTCAGTAAATTTTCAAACTCATTAGGCAGCTGAAAGCAATAAGATTCTGCACTCTAACAACCTCTATGATTTATTTAAATTATAAAATTAGAGGTTTGTTATAATATTATAATTTACTATTTTTAAGAATTTCATATATATGTATTTTTTTAATTGATAAAAATAAAGTATATATATTTAATTTTGATAGATGGACAATTTAGTCTTTTATAGTAAAAATGCTAAAATTGATAACCTAATTAAATATTTTGATATCTTCTTTTAAATGAGTAAGCGCATAGAGAGGAATTTATTCAAATAATATTATGCACTTAATTCAACAATTCAAACAGTGTTCTTTGAAACTCTATTTTCTTCAGAATTATTTTGTACACATTTTTACAGCGCGAACCGCCCAACCAAACGAGGTGAAACGTGTTTTTCTTATTTACAAAATCAATTGCTTCACAAAATCGCTTGCCAGGTCAAGGCATGGAGGACTACAATAGAAATCCCATATTAACAGAAGCACCACACGTAACAAAAAAATTATCTTGGAGAGAGATCTAAAATAAGTGAATGAGTCAAGGAAAATGTGAATTGTTTTTCAAGTTTTTTATTTTCTTTTTGAAACTATAAATAAATTGTATGTTACACCATTTTGCGGTAATATTTAGTTCTATTAAAATATTTTAATTTTTTTACTTTCTTGAATGGTACAATGCTATTATGAATATGGTGTGGACTTTTGTACTTATTATGAAAATTTGATAGAAATGCTTGTTCTGTAGGTTTCAGAAGCATCAGTTAATCGCAATCGTAGTACGATTATTGTACCTGCAGGAAGCTCTGGTGAGGAGGGATGGGCAGCATTCAGGAATATTTTACTGGAGATCAATGAAGAAGTATCCCGAATCTTCATATCTAATCAGGTTTTGCTAAGTTATATGAAATAACCCAATTTACTTTTTTTGCTTTCAATTTTTTCTTCATTTTTCTATAATTTCTTAAAACAATGCAGCAAAATATGGAGCCTTCGGAGCATCTACCAGGACTTTCAGATGATGTGGGAGCTGGATTCATATCAGGTTCAGGTCATAGTAATCACCCAGTTCCAGAATCTGACTTAAGTCTTGATAGACTAGTTGATCAGTTGCCTCTACAAGATGACGTTGCAAGCATGGGACTCTCCAAAGTCATTCGAGCAGACCAAAAGAGGTTCTTCTTTGATTTGGGAAGCAACAACAGGGGTCATTTCTTGAGGATATCAGAGGTACTAGACTGGATATAATATCTATATTCACCTATAATTATTATTGTACGGCTATATATATATATATATATATATATTCTTCAACATCTTATGGATTATACAATCTGCTAATTCATGCTGAAAAAAAAAAAAAACTTTTAGAGATACCCCTCAGAATGGCATAACATATTAAGAGGTTGTTTAGTTCATTGAAAAAGATATGCAACGTAGGAGTGCAGTGTAAAAAAAAATTAGTGTAAATGGAATACTTTAGAGTTGTTTAGATGAGTGTAAAATGAATCCATGAGATAACATTTTTTTGTTTGATTTAAAATAAAATGAGTGTAATATAAAGTCTTAAAGACATTGATGGTCGGTGGCAATCACTGACGGTGGGCGGCGGCGGCTGGCAAGGGCAGAGCCATGAATTTTTTCATGCGGGGGCACAAATTATTGAAGTAAAAAATAAACTGTCAACTTTTTTCATCTAGGCTTGGGACCAGCATTGACAGTTTTTTTAAAATAGTTAGATTTATTATAAAAAGATAAATTTTATGATAAAATAAAAACTTGCATATTATCTATAATTTCTCCTGCCAAGTTTATTTTTTGAAATCGTTGTACAATCAATTCATTGGCAATACTATTAAGTATATCCTTTTTAATATAAGTAGTTAAACAATCATTCTTCTAGGAGTCTCCCATATAATTGTGTAAATGATTCTTTATAATGTTGAATACAAAAAAAGCTCGTTCGATTGTTGTTGTAGCAATTAGCAATATCAAAGCAAGCATTATAACTAAGAACATCAATTGATAAATATCATTCTTCCTAGTCTCCACTATTTTCTTAGCAAGTTCTCTAAGTCCTTTTAAATTCATAAATGCATTATTCGATCTCATATTAGCAATAAAATGTTCAATTTGATTGTCTAGTATGATGATATCTATTTCTGAAAAATTTTACGGATAAAATTTTGCTAGGCATAACAATCATTTTTTATCAAAAGCTGAAAATGACTTATATGGATTCAAACATGTCGCACACGTAAGTAATTATGTATTAATTTCATCAAACCTGTTATTGAGCTCTTGAAGTTGCATATCTATAATAATGTAAAATAATTCGATTTGATAATGATGTTTATTTGTTATACCTTTAGTGCAATGCCTTGATCTTCATCCCATCACAAATGTATCAGTCATGTTTGAAATATTTATGCTATTCTTCTTACAAAATAATTCATGTTATTTAAATAAAATGTCTCAGTAGTCTCACTCATCATTTCTCATATTTTGGAGTCGTTGTTTCGAAACTTTAACCAAACTCATGACATTTATAATGTCTTGATCCTTTCTTTGTAGTACTTATGATAACTCATTTGTAACTCCTAATTTAGTTTTCATTATATGCAAATTTAAAATTTTGCACCGATTCAAGTAGGAAATATGCTTCACCTTTTTTCTCACTACTCGATCCCTCATGTATCACTATCTCAAGAACCTCTGTTATAGACCCAAACAAAAGGATTAAGCTAATGAGTGAATTATAGTGGAAACCCCAATGAGCGTCTCTTGGTCTTTGAAAGACAATTTTTTTTATTTAAACCTCGACCTTTTGTAACTCCTCCACTTTATAGTTAACTCAACAATTTTCTCATAATGTTTTCCTTTTAGTAAATCTCTTCTTTTGCATGAGCTACCAATAAAATTTAAGAAGCTAGTCACAATATTAAAGAAGAAAACATCTTGGACATAATTTTTTACGATTGTAACTAATGCTAGTTGGAATTGGTGTGCAAAACAATGCACAATAAGCTAAACAATTTTCTTTCATGATTCATGTTTTTAGTCCATTAAACTTATTCTCGTATATTGCTTGCTCTATCGTAACTGTGTCACACTCAACTCATACTTCGCAAAAAGTTCTTCAATAACCATCTTTAGTGTTGGAGCTGTTGTGTCTCCTATATGAATAATCCCAATAAAATGCTCAATAACATATCTTTGTGTATCAACATAACATAATGCAACAACAACTTGTTGTTTAACTGATATATCCTGAGATTCATCATGTAAAATTACGAATACATCATTTTTTTAATTCAGTCATTATAAATTTGAAACCTCAATTGTAGTAGCTTTTGTGATTTGTTTCTGAATTTTTAGAGCTATTAATTTATTATTTCAAGGTGAATTATCCAAAACAACTTTACTTATGTCTTCAATATGGCTAGCAAGAAAGCATAAAATTTTAAGAAAAATTCATTGATTCTCAAAATCCTCTGATTCTCAAAATCCTCTGATTCATTATGTCCACGGAATGCTAATCCCTGCTGCAAAAGGAAACATACACAATCTACACTTGCATTTAATCATGTACGATAATTTTTGTGGTTTTGATTAGAAGGTCTTTTGAAAGAAAATCTTATATCTCTTTCTTGATTCATTAAATCTTCACATTTCTGTCTAGCAATGTTATGTGCACTGTTAATATTACCAACATGAATACGAAATCTATCTTTTTTTTCAATTTTAAAACTTTTTTGTTCAAAACTATCACCACTAGCATGTTCTCCAATATGAGGTCTATACAGATAAAAAATAAATAATAAGTTGCATTCTTGGTTATACTATATTCTAACCAAGCTTTGTGATCATCAAACCATGCAAATATTAAATCTACAAAATTTAGCTCCAAGTTGTGTGGGGGAATTCATGATCACGCGATTGAAATGGCCCTTTCAATAAGTAATGTCTTTGAGCACTATCTCTCTTATTAGGATGATAATCTAAACTTTTTTTTCTCAATTCAGGATCGACTGGGATATTTGCAAAATTTGTTTATGCACGGCTTTGTTTGATTTATGTATTGTTTTTCTCCATATAAAATTTTTTGATCATTTTCTTCAACTTTTTTTTAATATATTTCCATATTAATTTGAATGGAAACAAGGTTAACAAATCAAATGATGTCAATGCATCATAAGTTAAAGTATCTTAGTTTGTAAAATAAAGAAGCGAGATACAATTATGTCATAACTTCAAAGGTTAATATCATATGATTAAAATGAAGAGGTGTCTCAAAAAGTATTAGAAGATAAGAGAGCTTCATCAATATTAAAAAATAATAATCAAATTATGATTAGATAAATTTGATTATTCAATCACAAAGTTATTCATAACTTAGATGAGTACAAAAATTCATTAAACGTAAAGTTGAATGGAGAGTTTTAAGACGGAATTAAGTTGACTCTAACACGAGTGATTGGAGAGTACATTTCATAAAACCAATAAAAAATAATTGGGGATGGGCAAATGAAGATGATAAGAATAAAACTGATATAACTAACAAAAATAAAAATATAGAAAGCATCTACCGAACCGAGCGAGATTAGAAGTAGGGCGTGCGGTTTAGCGTTCTGACTTCCGGGCTTTTGGCCTTTGGCTTCAGTCCGTGCGTTGTAAGAAGCCTTTCGTGAAGAGTTCAAGTATTAGGGTAGTAATAAAAGCTTTGTATTTCAAAATCAAAGCATCAGAATCTCAGATACCTACCAAGCAGTGCGCCGACTACCAACCTATCGCATGTTCAAATGAGATTAGAAGAAGGGCGACGGGGAGTTTGAACGAGATTAGAAGCAAGGGTGTTCGGTGTTCCAACTTCCGTACTTCCCGTGCCCTGTGGGAAGCTTTTCCGCGAAGAGCCGAAGGCCGAAGATCGTCTGCCTCATTGTTCGCACATGAAAAGCAGAGCTGCGGATTGGTATTTTGGATATGAATGATTTAACCTGTAATTAATGACTCATAATATACTTAAATATATGTTAACAATAAATTCAGTGGGGGCCCATGCCCTTAGGGTCCCATAATGCATCCACCCCTATTAAGGAGCAAGCCATTTGTGTGCCAAGTAAAATACCCATCTAAGATTGATTTCTACTAAATAAAATGAATATGTTCTCAATACAAATATTTACGTTGTTTTGTGGTTGTCACATTCCATTCTAATGACAACCTTCTCACCTTAATCAATATTTTCCTTAACCAAATTTATTTTTCGATAACAAATTGGTTCCATGAATTTGCTAGAAGGTTGTGAGATCATGTTGGTCTTATAAACGGACGGACTTAACGGCAATACTCTTTGAATATTTTAATCTTTCTTGTTTGTTGAGAATGTTAAAAAGAGATTCTGGAAATACTGCTAAGAGATTGAGTTTTAATGCAGGTGGCTGGACCAGATCGCTCATCTATCATCTTGCCGTTATCTGGTCTCAAGATGTTCCACGAAATGATTGGCCACTTTGTAGACATAACAAAGGACAGGCTAGAAGGGATTTCGAGCGCAAATGTGAGGACTTTGGAGCCTTCTCAGAGATGAAGTTATTGCTGGTTGGCTGGTTTCAGAAAATTAACGGTATTCTTTTGCTTCTAGTCTTTTTCTCGTGGTATTGGCGTTTGCATTTTTTTTTTGAAGGGGTTGCTTAATGCTTCTGTTGTTTTACGCTATTTTTATTCTTGTTTTATCGTAAAGGTTGATTGATTGATGGTAAATAATATGTGGGTTTCTTTCTGTGCGTTGTTGAGGAATAAACGAGGCGATGGATATGCCTATGGTTTATGTCATTTATGCGTGCTTTGAGTGGAGTGCTGGTGCCTGCAATGCAATTGAAAAAAGATTCTTAATTAAGTTCCTTGTATGTTGTCAATATATTATTCAGTATTGTATTTTTTTTTTAAATTTTGTTATGTTTATTTAGTTCGGAAATACTCTAGATTTTTTTATTATCCATTTTTTTGTTGGTGTGGATCTGAAGCACAATATTTGGACTTCAGAAATTTATTTATGTATTTGGGACTTTGAACCAATTAAATCAAATTCACATATACGAGCTTCAAACTATTTGAACCAATTAACTTGAGACATCTTGATTGATAGTCAAAGCTCTCAAAGAACAGACCAAGATACTGAATATCAAATTAAAGATCTCTTCAACTCTCGATCTCCGCCATAGGAGTTGAAGGTCTTACTACATATATATGTTAAGGGTCTTTACTGGGCAATTGTGCTTTTTTACGCAATAATGAAGAAGCGCGGGTGAGGAAGTAGGAGGCCATGTTTTAGGCTTCGTTTGATTCAGTTTATGCTTACATAAAAAAGAGTTTTAGAAAAGGAGGTTGAGAAAAAGCTGTTCAATAAAATGGAGTTTCAATAATGAGATGTGTTTGACTAATATTTTTAAAAGTGCTTATTAATACTTGAAAGTAATTTTAAATTGTTTGTTTAGGAGTTATGCTTTTAAGATTTTATTATAAAAGACATAATTCGCTTTCAAAACTCCGTTTTGTGATCGAAGAAGCAGATACGAAAAGAATTTTGTAACCGCCCAATAAAGAATTTTGTAATCATTGTTAAGCTTTGATTCCAAACAGTAAATACTAATTGATTTAGGCTTATTCAAATGAAAATGGAGAAAAAGCCTAATCAAACGAGGCCTTAATTGAGGGTGAAATTTTTTGTGTATGGATTTTTTTTTTTTAATCTAGAGAAAGCTTTGCAATATGGAGAAGCATAATACAGTTTTTTGTTTTGTTTTGTTTTTTTTTTTTTTAATTTGGAATGGTGAGATCTGTAGCTTGGTAAATGAAATATATAGATAAAGGAGTTGATGGCATTAGAAAATTCATTTGATTAAATATGAGTTTTGATGGAATATTTAGATCCTAGAATACTTAGGATATTTGGGAATTGATTTTGAGATATTTGAAATCTTATTTTAATACATTTATAATTGAAATGAAGATTTTGATGAGATGAATTTAATGATACTAAGTTATTTTAATTTAAATTAAATATTCATAAATATAGTCTAAATTTTATCTTGATAATGCGAAGGATTAAATGAATTTTTATTTTTATATCCTAGTAAAAATTAGCACATTGATGATCCTAATATCACTTACTTTTAATTTCATTTTGATATTTGATTGTTTAAAAACATTAACTGATCAGTGTTATCAAAGTATATTGCTATGGTGTTTTAAATTTTTATCAAAATGAATGTGATAATCTTATAAAAAAAATTAAATAGGCTCAACTTTTACACATAAAAAAGATTTAAGAGAGAATTTTTAGATGTAAGATACTTCTAAAGGTTTACTTATTACACACAGTGTTTGAAGTATGTGCTTGTTGACATTCACTTTCTATTGTTGTTGATGCTTGTCAAAAAGTGCATATTGTTGTAGATGTCTCTTCTTTATTGTCTATAACTCTTGTTGATTGCTATCAATGTCCTCTATCATTGATTGTTAATCTCCTATTAAAGTTGATGCTTGATATACTTCATCTTTAACTTAACATTAACATTGATCACCTTTATCCTAAAATCTTTTTTTTTTTATTTGGTGGCAGAGAAGGGTAGATCAGTATAAATTATAAAATACATAGGGAAATTATGTTAGTTTTGCCAAACTCCATGAATTTTCTCTTTTTAGGATATTTTATGTAACTATTGCATTATTATGAGTTGTGGTCTACTCATTCATATGTGTGCGCTAAATTTTCATGTGATTCCCTCATGATACTTACATATTGGCAAAGATACTCTTGCATGCAATAGTTTAATGTTGTCAACTAGAAACAATCTCCCCATCGGTGATCCTTTGAACAATTGTCCAATGATAAGCAAGTATCTAACGCACAAATTAATGGAGCCTCTTAATCTAGCATGCATTAATATAGGAATCAATGTTTCAATGAAGGATGTTATGCTTCTTCCCCTTTCTTCCCAAAAGTGGAACCTTATTGGCAAAGTACCTCATGCCTATCCTTAGAGGACCATGTTCGTGGTACATAATGAAATCATTTAGCTCCCACATGAGGTTTGACAATTAACGAAATTGGAAAATGTTTAGCTTGCCTCCTGTAGGATATGCTATAATTCAGAGCTAGTCTTCTCGGGGTCATTCTTGTTGTTCCCTCTTAACATCTTGGAATTCCTCCTCTATTGCAACCTGGCATCAACCGCCTCGGTATTATTAGTTTCAACCATCCATCAAGTTTAGACTTGTTGACCTGTAATCCTCTAACGAGCATAGTGGATTTAGCCCATCTTCGCTTTGCTAACACGTTCGTGATGTCTTTCAGGATGAGTTACGATGTCTAGTATGGGAGGCATTTTCCTTAAGGGACATGAATCAACTTTCTTTATGTCATAATTCTTCGGAGTCTTCACTTTGATTGATGTTATTCTCCAACACCATTTCATTATGGTTAACTTGACAACTAGAAACTCTTATGATAGTGCATCTAACCCCTTACTAGTACTTTAATCATTTAGAGACTATCATTCACATTCTATGGGCCTTTGATGTACCTCTCTATGAACTCTTTCATGCCACCCTCAAAGAAAGACTTGAATTTAGTTCTACTTTCTATCAAGCATAATTATCCACATCTTTAACAAAATCTCCAGACTTTTTAAAGAGTTGTTTATTTTATATTGATTGATTGTTAAGGACTCTTTCTCTAGAACTCACCAAAATGATGGAGAATCTCTTAAGAATGTCTTTAAAGATTTTTCTATAAACTCTAAATATGAGGGCTGAATCATAAACTATTACAAGTGGGTTTGGGGCTTATAATAAGAGGAATTCAATCTACTACATTAACAATATCTTCTCATACTGAGAGGAATATTAGTTGTTAGTAGATAAAAGAAGCTTTGTCCTTATGTTTTCTACTATAAACTCACACCTCATATTTTAAGCTCACTTTGGTCTTTACACCCAACTTCCATTAAAGATCCCCAATAAGCCTTCAAATAGTTAATTAAGTAGGCAATAGAATTAGAAGAATATAATAACCATTGATCCTAAAATCTGTTAGAGTATTACAAACGTGCTCTGATACCATGAAGAAAGACCTACAAGAGCTTAGCGAAGAACAGAGAGGAGGAAGACGATGCAGAGGAATGAATGTATTCATTTCATTGAAAATCATCTTAGGATTGTACAATGGTTTTATAGAGATGTAAGAGACAGGTAGTTAGGATAGCAGACGGCCGTTGATGGCAGACTGTCACGGCAGCTGCTCAGGCAATCGTGCCGCCGGAGCGCGTGCAGGAGAACGTGAGCGGTGAGGTGTGCTGGCGGAGCGGTGAGGTGTGCTTGCAAACCTTGTCACGAAGTGCACTATCCCTATTCCTTTCGAATTAGGTGCTCCCCCTTCCAGCCATCTCATTCGACATTGTATTTTGGTGGAAGCTTGATGAAGCTTCAATGTCGGGTCTCGCCCCCAATATACAATCTTGAACCACTAATCGTACTTTTCTCAACATGTTAGATTTCAAATTAACATAAATTTGGGACTATTGATTTATTAGGCCAATCAATCTACTCTAAACAAAAATTATGTGCATGTCATAATTCTTTTTTATTTTTCAAAATTCATTAAATGCTAACAATTTGATATAAACTAATGTGCATGTATATACAATTAAAGTCCTAAAATCAACTCAAATTTTGAAATATTACGCTTATGCCCCTGCATATAAATTACATATATGCCCCTGCATATAAATTACCTCCTTAAATATTACTAATTTTTTTAATCAATTTCTAATTACAATATGTGACCATCTCTCAGATAAGCTGATTTTATCTGAGATTGCCGACATTTTGTACATCAGTAATTACCAATATCATACCCAATTGACCATTTGTAAATGGCCAGGAATCCAAGGCTATGTCAAGGTCAGATAAAAATTTCCAGTACAGATAATGACATTAGACTATTTCATTAAAAGAAGAAGAAGAAGTAAAATTCCTTCACAGTAAGAGATTTGACAAGTATTGGGTTTGAAGTTGGGCCGATGAGGGTGGAGGATGGAATTTTTAATTGAAGTAGAAATCTTAATTTCATGTATTAATTCGACTATGTTTTTTTCTATTTACTAGATTGTTTGTTCTTTGGGGGAATTTATAGGAAAGTTCTTAGAATTTGAGTTAACGAAGAAAGATAATACTTTTTTATATTTTAATGAACAAGTCTAGATCGGTGGGTGGCAACAGGCAATGAAGTTTCAATGTATTTGAAAATCATTCAAATCGAAGGAATTTCAAATACACTAAAAAAATGAATTAGATGGTAAATTTTAAATACATCAAAATTTTATGTTGCATTTGATTTACTTCAAACCAAATATCAATATTTTTTAAACTCCTGCGTTTGAAATATTTTACATGCTTTTACTTCAAACCAAGTAGCCCAAAATAACCCCTAAATCATGAACTTTTATTTGGTCCGGTGACTTGACGTAGCTCTACGTTCGGTCACCACTGATATAGCACCACGTAGCAGGCACAATACCGCGGATCAGACCCGGCGAATAGTGGGTATGCCGCACATGCGTATTTAAATCCATGACGACCCGGTATTGCTCGGTATTGATAGGTATTGGACGATTTTGCTCGGCAATAACGAGAAATTCCATTATGTGAAGACAAATACCGAGCAATACCTACCAATACCGAGCAATACCGAATTTTTCTGGATATTGCTCGGTATTAGTCTTCACAGAGCGGTATTTCTCGTTATTACCAAGTAATACCTAGCAATACCGAGCAATAACAAGCAATACGCAAATATAGCAATTCCGGGTTCCGATCCGAGTCAAGTCGTCGGGCCGCGCGGTAAAGAGTTAGAGCACGTGGCGACATATTATTGGCGTCCGAACGTAGAGCTACGTCAGGTCACCTGACCTAATAATTGTCCTTAAATCAAAGGGTCAAATGAAAAATATTGTGATTTGTAAGATTTTTTTTGAGATATCTCCCCCTTCGGGATCTTAAAGAGCTGAATCCTATAAGTAATTAGTTGTGAAAGTAGCTTGTAAGGATCTAAAGAAAGAAGGATTAAAAGTTAATTAAAATTTTAAGCTACATTGTTTAAGAAATATATGAATCTATGATGACTGATTTATTAAAAATGATGATTAATATACATTATTTTCATACATAAAATAAACTATAGAATGTAGTATATAAAATTCTTTATTTACATTAGCATTTTCTTCAGCAATATTGGACTTCATCAGTCGGTTAGGCAGCCCAACTAGTGATAAACTCCTCCCATATTTGCACATGTTTAAGATTGTGAGAGAGTTCAAAATGACAACCACTTCTATGAACTATTCTAGATAAGGCATAAAGGGTTTTTGAGCTAGGGTTTTGAATTCTAAGAAAAAACTAATAATAATAAATAATATTTTCAAGAAATTTGTATTAGGATGAGTTTGAATGCCGATTAGGGGTTTAAGAAAGTCGGGTCAACTCGCGAGCTGGCTCGAACTCGACTCGCTAATTAGTTTGTGCTTATCAAGTTTTGAGTTCGAGCTCAAGCCTGTAAACGAGCTCGTTTGAGTTTAGTCCGGCTCGACTCTTTAGCTTGTCGAGCTACTTGGTTTTAAAATATATTTTTCGAAATTTTAATTTATCATTTTCTTAATAACTTTTTAAGATAACAAAAATTTGAGTTAAACATGCAACTTGTCACAAAATTTATAATACAAATATCATAAAAGTTTTATACATAAATTAAAAAAAAAAAAGCTAATTAGTTTGTGCTTATCAAGTTTTGAGTTCGAGCTCAAGCCTGTAAACGAGCTCGTTTGAGTTTAGTCCGGCTCGACTCTGCTTTGCTTCATCCTTTTGAGTTTTGACGATGCCTCTATTGTCGCTAGAAACTCACTATTTTTTTTCTAGAAACTCACTTATGTTCTTTGTTTATTCAACATTCTTAAAAAGGTATTTATCATTGAACCTTTTTTGCCCAAATAATAATATATTACATATTCACTACTTTTGACTTAAAATATTCCTATATAAGCTACATTCATGTAAAATATAAATTTAATAGAACCCAATCGGGTTTAGCTGCGTTGTTGATCAAGCATGATTGGGATCCTCCAACTCCTTATGCTTCGCCTCTCATGCGGCACCACTTTTTAAATGAGGAGAAAATAACTGCGGGTCATGCACCTATGAGATTGGTAGGCTCGTTGAAGGATTAGTAATGCCTCCAAACATCTCTTATGGGGTGGCAGTGGGTAGATACCCTGTTTCTATATATATATATATATATATATATATATATATATATATATATATAGTTAAATAAATGTAATCCTAAATATAAGATATTCAAAAGGCGACTTGATTTAAGGACAATGACATTCAAAATTTTCATCTCACTCACTCATCTGATTTAGATTCAATCAATCAAAGGCCGACTTTTCATTATTAACAAAAGGAGCACACACAATGAGATTTGTAGGCTCCCATGATCATTAATTTTAGCAACTAATTTCCTAAAAAAAAAATTCAAAATTTTCTTAGGATATTTATGTCAATTAAGACAAATTCATACATACATCACATGTACATGACTTAAACACATCACATATGTAAGACTTAAATCAAAGACCTTTTGATTGATAGTCAAAACCAAGATGAACGGCATATTTCTCACGATTCACTAAGTTGTGAGATTTAAATCTTAATAAAGATTAATATAAATTATTTTGTAGTGGTGGACGTTTAGGTCAATTAACATAAATTCACATACATATGATTCGAATTTAAAATCTCTTGATTGATAGTCAAAACTCTCTAACCTATTAAGATTGAGATCAAAATGAGCTTTATTAGATAAATTAAAAAAAGCATATAAATTTAATAAACTTAAAAAACATATAAATTTAATAAACTGTGTTATAAAAAAAAGTAATAATAAAAAAAATTAAAGGTCATGAGATAAGATAACCTCAGGAATCAGATAGGACGTTTCTTGTGGCCCACGGAATCCCTGTTCTTTGCTCAAATAAATAAATAAGCCGCAAATCCTCGCTTCCAGAGAAGGAAAAACGCGGTCGCAAGCAAGCTTATGCGCGTAAGTTAAACCTCTCCTTCGCTTCTAATCCATTCAATATTCAGCCCCGCGGCCTCATAAATATATAGGGGGATTTACAACATATCATTTTATATTATCTCATTTATATATTTAATAATTAAAATTTTAATATTACATATATATCATTCTATATTATTTTAATATCACATATAAATGACATATATAATTTTAATATTTTAAATATCATATATATATAAATAGAATAATATATGATATATATATATAAATCTCCCAAATAGATAACATGTAATTTTGAAAATATTGAAATATATAGAGCTGATAACTGCTACTGAATAGTGCTTTACTATATATTCAGAGGGGAATATTGGATGATGTCAATGCTGACGTGTACATTATTGACTTATCAAATCTGAACATGTGGATTTTTAAGGATCCTTTCAGTAAAGGCTCACCTCAAACGTATAAAGTGCGGCTAATATATATCGTTTAAGCCATGTTCAGATGTTATCGGAATATTCCTCAACGATGTTCCAAGACTTGCGACAAGCAAGTTTGGCTTCCACCTATTCTCATCAAAGACTTTAAAAAATAATTATGCAATTTTAGGCTTTATTTGGGGAAATTTTATTCATTACAGTCATCGGACGGCGTCTAGAGAAAAATCAAAGGGAGTCACGTCACTTTTTTGCTGTGTACCGGCGTTGTGTGTCATTCTGTGCCGGGCGACGTGGAGCTCTCTGATTTGCTTCCGGACAATCCGATAACCGCACAGAATAATTTTTCTTGTTTGGGACAGTTTTTTATCATTAACCGGTTAAAACATAGAAACAAAATTGTTCCAAATGAAGCCTTAGAGAAGTTATATAGAGCTAAATTTAAAAAAGAATATCATTAAAAAAAAATTACTAAGGATATTTGAATTCAAATTGGAATGGTGACATGTGAACTGTGCGGTAGTTTGCATCCAACTACCACAATAATAAAGAAATAAGAAATAGTATGAGAGTTAAAACATGTGCAGATATGATAGGTTATGACTAAATTCTTATCTTAATAATAAGAATTAAAATAATCAGACATTAATACATGGGTAGGTATTGCAGAAACTGACTATTATGTCGAACCTAATAAAATATCATTGATATAAGTTATGGGGATTATGGTATTCTTCAACTTTAAATGTTGAAAAAATGATATTTAGATTAGGGGTGCAAACGAGTCAAGCCGACTCGTAAACCAGCTCGAGCTCGAGCAGATTTTCCAGCTTGGTTGGATTATGGAGCTCGAGTTCAATCAAGATGAAACTCGGCTCGAGTACTCGTCAAGCAGCTAAAGTGCGGAAGGTGGGAGCACAGAAGCAACATCGTGGGTGCTACATCAGCAACTTGGTCGTGGTTGCTTGGAACCGCGGATACAGAAGCTGGATCACTTGAGCGCGGTTGCATGGGTCCGCGGACGCGAAAGCAAGATTGGAATGAGAACCAAGCTCGAGCAGGTGCATCCATCATCACGAGCCGAGCTCGAGCAGGGCATTTAAGCTCAAGTCAAGCTCAAGCTCAAATTTGATCTCGCGATCTAAGCAACAAGCCGAGCTCAAGATAAAATGACTCAAGCTCAACTTGACTCGTTTGCACTCCTAATTTTGATAATATTTTTTTATATAAGTAAAGTTATTCATGATTTGATGGATAGTTTTGAACCTTTGATTCTATATTCCAATATTATTGGTTTTTATCATATGTAGCTCTTAGTGGAAACATATAAGCTAATGTTTCCATCATAGTAGACATCCACATCCTAATATTGCACAAGCAAAATGTCAATTTCCTAATAAATTTAAATGCTTTGATGTATCCTTTTCAGTTGTCAACATACATAATTTTGAAAGCATCCACGTATTGTCATATATAAATATCTATAATAATCTTACTAATCTTGGCAACAAAAGAAATAAACAAATAATTTAACACTTTATTAGAAGTATATATATATTTTACACAAATCCATAATTCAATAAGCTATCAAAGTCCAGAGCTTGCAGACTAGAAGAAGGATCATCAACATAATCTTGCATTTCTACACTGCTTATCTGATACTTGGAGACAGCCGAACAATCCTCAGCAGAGGCGATGGAGTTTGATGATTGTTCTATCTTGACATGGCCATTGAAGGCGTTTAAGTTTTGATTTGAAATCGATGAATCTCTCATTATTTCTTCTTCATGGTGGAAGAAGAAAGGTCCTTGAGTATTTCTTTGGGAGAAGTAGATTGATTGAGTACTTTGTTGATCAATTTGTACTTCTTTTGGCTCCAGTATTTCTTTGTTCCTTGAGTTGAAGGAAGAATCCATGAGCGATGGCAAGTAAGGAGTTTCAACTAAGAAATCATCCACAAATGAGTTCATACTGGTTGCTAAATCTTGTGCTGGGATCATCTTTGTGTCCTTTGCCTTGTGGTAGACCTTGTAAACGACCCATTCATCCTAAATTTATGGCATTAAAGACTGTTAGTTAGTTGTCATTAATGGCTTTTGATTCATGGAATATCGACTCAATTGAGACAGTAATTAGAGGTTAAAACACATCATGGTGAGATGTAAGACAATTTTGAATATTTTTGGGAACAATTAAATATAAATTATTCATTGAATATTGACTAAATTAATAGAATTTAATGAAAAAAATATCACTTAGAAAATTCTTTATATATATATATATTAGAGAAGACAAATCCTTATGAGATGCAAGACAAATATGAGTATTTTATGAGACAATAAAGGAGAAATTATTCTGAGCGGAAGTCCGAGAACAACGTTCGGAGATCAACTGGAATGCATCAAGTCAGCGATAAGCCGCGGTACCAAACGAAGAGATAACGTGGCACATTTTGGTTGATCTCCGGACGACATTCGGACAGAATAATTAATCGGAGAAGAACAATTGTCTTTTTAAGATAAAATATATATAGTCTCACCAAATACTCAAACTATTAAATATCTTATGATGATGTGACTTTTATCCTAAGCAAATTTTTGCTTGCTTGTAAATTGTCAACTTGTTTTAAAGAACGTGAGAATTTGCCCAATTCTTTATATTAATTATTTTGGTTAGACGTAATTAAAAAAAAAAAAACTTAAATCTTTCAAACTCCTTAAAATAAATAATTTTATTTTCACAAATAGAATTCCTAAAAATATGAAATTAAGAAAAAAAAATTACCTGTCGGCCGGATTTATAGAGGTTAAAGTGTTGTTGATGTTTGCCTTCAAGCCTGTACTCATGCATGACCCAGTTGCTCTTCTGCCCTCTCGGAGCTCTCCCAATGTAAAAGACCAGAGTCTTCTTCATACCGACAAGAACACCCTTCCCCTTATAAATTTCCTTATCTTTTCCTGTGGCTTTCCAATATCCAGATTCTGTAGCCCTGTTTGTTCTCATTCCTGTAGGATATTTTCTATCCTTTTGGCAGAAGAAGAACCATTCTTTCTCTCCCATCTTAGCCTTGCCTGCAACATATATAAATTTCTATGTAAATTACGTGCATGGAAGAATACTGAATTCATAAAGCTAATCACAGATAATAGTTATGATGGTATAGTTGAAATAATATGAGAGGAGGGGGAAGAAGGGTGTGATTACTTACTTGGAAGATCCCATGGCTCACAATCATTGAAATTCGCTTCGGCTATGGCGATCGGGCAGAAGCTTTGATCGATGATTTTCTCCGACAAGTAGTGAGTTATGATCTCTTCGTCGGTCGGGTGGAATCTGAAACCAGGAGGCAAGTAGAGGGACTCATCCATGACTACAACACTCTCAAGAATTTGAGTACTGAATCCTCTTTGGACAACAAGAATGAAAGAAGAAGAAGAAGAAGAAAGGAGCTAGAAATTTATGTCAAAAAAGTGGTGGAAGAATTAAGAAAGGGCGAGCTGAAGCCAAGATTAATATAAGGTATTCATGAGAGGCAAATAAGACCCGTGCTGTAGAAGGCACTTATCAAGGAAGAAGCACGTTTTGTTATTTGTGAAGCTACTGAAGTTTATTAATGTATTTATAATGTCCACGAAAATTATGAAAAGGGTGACTTTGGTTTGGCTTCTCCATGTAACTTCTCAGTTCTTATCTTGTACTTGGCTAGAATTAGACTTTTTTTCATGCAGAATTGAAGGCTTGATGTTTACCAAAAATTGCATGCGCATGTCTTTACATACTAGGCAAATAGAAATACAAGTAGATCTTTACTATTAGTTTTCAAAGATAGCAACTACTACTTTGGAAAAAGAGCTATCTTTAAACTGTATATTTATATTTTTTTATCGACAGATGCAGGAAATTAAGGCTTTGTTTGGGACGGCTTTCTTCCCGCTTCTTAAAACAACTTTTTAGTACAAAATTTAAAATTTTGGTACTAGAAAGCCGCTTTATGAAGCAGGAAGACAGCCGTCAATTTTTTTATTGCTTTCTAAAGCAGCTTTATAGGAGTACTAAAAAGCCGTGTGTTAGATAATAGTAAGAAAGTTGTACCAAACAAAGCCTAAATTTTGATCAAGCATAAATTTTTAGCAAAGAGTTGTTCAAGAAAATGCATAAATTATGCTATAAAAATTCAAATGCTACAATATATTTTTAATTTTGAAGTATAGATTTCGAAAATTCAAATGCTAATGTCTAACAAGCTATGGTTTTGCCAAAGCTTCATCATGAAATCATTCTATCATCAGACTGCCATCGTCAAAATGTGGTGCTTATCCTTTATTGTTGGCTCGTTTCCCAATCTTCATCATCAGGCCACCATCACTCCGCCACAATCATTTGAATAAGGCTTGGCTTCTTAAAGCAGATTTTTTAGTACAAGTTGCTTTGAAAAGAAGTAAAAAAGATGCCTCAAAAGAAACCTAAGACTTCGTTTGGGACTATTTTTTTTATTCTTGAAGTAGCTTTTTTGTGCTAAAATTATTTTTTTTTACTAAAAAATTGTTTATGAAGCAATAAGCAGCTCACAAACGAAGCCTAAGGCTTCATTTGGGACGACTTTCTTACTGCTTCTTAAAACGTATTTCTAGTTCAAAATTTTTAATTTTTAAACTAAAAAGTTGCTTTAAGAAACAATAAGAAAGTCGTCCCAAACAAAGCCTAAATCTCATCCCCACTGACTTCTTGATAATTTTCATCAAAAACTTATACAAACTCTTTATAATTAACTCAGTTAATAAAATTTTGTCCAACTAGATTCAGCTTGGGTTATTATTTTTCTTTTCAGAACTAAACCTGATAACTTATAAACCTGCTCGGTAAACTAACTTTTAAATTTTACTTTGTGACTTGATGACTCATTATTTTAATATATTAACATTTTTTTTGTGGGGCTGCCTTTGAAAAGTGTACCGTAACTTTCGGTTAAAATTATTTTTTATTCCTTAAAATATATGCCTGATAGCCGCTTTGGAAACGTGGGGACCCTTCTGACTTTCTCACTTGATTAAGAGCGCGCCAGTTGTCTTCGAAAATTTTTCAGTTGAACTTGAGTTGGTTGGAATAACGACTTATTTGCCCATTCGTGGACAGAAACTTCATAAATAAAGGCAGCTTATACTGATGGATTCGTTGGGAGCTTCCATTATCAACAAAGAGATTTTAGATAAAAAGTTTATATATATATAATGTGTGTGTGAGTTTATCTTAATTAGTCTGAATGTCCAAAAAAAAACAACTTCATAAATAATGCTTTGAAAAATAATAAATCCGATTTCATCTACCGCGTGTAATATTGTTCGATTACGGCTTGACAAAAAAATAAATTTTGTTCATTTTATCATTGAACTATTTTCAAAATAAAAATGAATTAAAACCAATTCGTCCAACCTAAAAAATCATTTAATTTTGTGTCGAATTAAAATCTATTTTATATTGAGTAAAAAAAATATTAATTATAAATAATTAAATTTAATATATAAATAAATTCGGATTATATTTAAGTGAGTGTGTCAACAAATTATTCGATTGATCAATCTGATATGTTCCCGTCTTAAAATATTCACATTCATATTGACCATTTCATAAATGGGTTTGATTTTAGCATGAAATTATAGCTTGCTTATTAAAAGGATCGGATTCAGGATGGCTCACAAACATGTTTTTGACCTGAAATTAACTTGCTTAATATATTTTACTTTTCATATATTTTTTTTTTTCAAATAATTAAATTAAACCTTATAGTTTATAATTTATAATTAAAAAAAATTATTTATGGGTTTGATTTCGGTCATTTGGGTTGTTGTGGTCAGGTTTGGGTTCCCATTTTTTACATCAGGTTCAAATTGACTCGATTCATGTTAGGTGAATTTCGAGTCAGATGCAAATCGGACTCGATAACCCATTTTGACAACCCTAATTAACATACAAAAAAAAAAGATTTCAAGTATAAATATGAGCTTAAAAATAATTTGAATCAATATTGAGTTTAGTAAAATTTTAAAAGTAATTAGAATGAATTTTAATGACCTTCGTAACTATCGTGGAATAAGTCTCATTGTAAGGAGGATAAATGGCCACTTGAAAACAACTTATCGCAACCCCGCAACTTCTCTATTAGTCATGATCTCAAAGTCATTTTCTTGTTTATTACTAAATCATATTATTAGTCTTTATACCCTTTTAGACCAAAATTGCTAACAAATAGCTATTTTTCAAACATTAGTAGTCAAATTAAGTGAAGTCATAGATAAATGGTGTGATGGTGTACATGTCATTAGTAAATAGAAAAGTATTTGCTTTTTAAATTTAGAGCCTATTAAAATTATATTAAGATATATTGATATATTTTATATTAGGGAAATCCATATTCACATCAGGCATCATTAATTTCAAGTGTAATATATTATCCCTTAATATAATTAAATTATTAAACATTAACAAGTATAAGCATAAGAAAGGAAAATATCATTGATATGTTGCTTAAAATCATCTTGATCCATCATAAAACTTGAGGCATCATCGGGCCTTTGTCTGACTACAGTCACTCGTCAGCTACGGTCCCTTTGACCAACGTTGTCCGCCCACTATGATCCCTCCGACCTCTATCGCCCGCCGATTACGATCACTTTGAGTTTCCAAAAACTGTCGCTCGTCGACTACGGTCCCTCCTACCACCGTCACATGTCTACTAAAGTTTCTCCTACCACTGTCGCCTGCCGACTAAGTTCCCTGCGACCTCCATAGCACACGGTCCCTCCAATCTCCATCACCCGCTGACTAAGATCCCTCTGACCACTGTTGCCCGCCGAATACGGTCATTCCGACCACTATCACCAGTTAGCCTGACCATAGTCAGATTCCAATTACAGTCCCTTTGTCCTCCATCGTTCGATGACTATATATGGCCCCTATTACCTCTGTTGCCCGTCCACTACGGCCTCTCCGATCTCAATCACCCGACAATCGTCCTTTGACTTCCCTCGCCCGCCAACTCCTATCCATCCGACCTCTGTCGTCTAAATACAACCCCTATAAACTAAATGAACAAGCAAATACTCTCTTGATAACTTCTCACATTATATTGGGTTCTTCTAATGTATATTTGCTATATTGAACCAATGCCTTCCCCAAATGAATAGCATCATTTGTAATTAACAATAAATATTAGTGTATTCATTCAAACTAAGCAATGCCCTGTGGTTTGTCCCCTTTTTTAGGGATTTCAAAGTAAAAAAATCTTGTTATCTCTTATGACCCCTATACCTCAACTCTCATTTGTGTGTGTGTTAGATTTTCGTAAAAAAATTAGGATGTTAAATTCTATATCTCTCAACCACCGTGAATATTTCAGAACACAATAATTATGAATATCAAATTATTTAATTCTATTTGTCTACTAATTTAATTATATTGAAAGATAATATATGGTACATTAAATCAAAGGAGAATATATGTCTTAAAAATAAACCCATTCTAATAATTAAAACAAGTCAAAACTGTTAGATGCATAAGATGCGACAAAGTAAGATGAATGTGTAGGTTTTAAGTTAAGGGATTTTTGTGCAAATGAGAACTGAAACAAAATATAGAAAGAAAGAGTGTTTTATGTTATAAAGAGAGCACGATGTAAGCAAAACTTCTTCATATTAAGATTCAAGTAGGGATGTAATAAATGACAAAAATCATAATTTATCATGGTCAATATGACTCATTTAATAAATATGTCTAATTCGGATCATATTTTTCTATGATTTTATTAAATAGGTCGGATTCGAATTGACCATCAAATCTTTTTTTATTCGAAAATAACTCATTAAATATCTTTTTTTTTTCTTTTTTTTTATTTATGGGTATAATCTTCTTATTTTTTATCAAATATATTAAATTTTATAGTTAATAAGTTATTAAAAATTTGTACCAAAATAAATTAATGGTCCAGATTCGAGTCATTCAAGCTGTTAGCAGAATAAATTCAAATTTCTCTTTTTGACACATTTATTAAACATGCCAGATTTGGAATGATTTGTTCGGATCAACTTAATTTTGGGTCAATCGGGAACCGAACCTATCAACCTATTTTGACACCCTTAAATTCAAGTGTTATGGCTTATCCAGGAACCAAGGACAGCCGACGGAAAAATCTCGGCCGTCCAAAAATACGATTAGTCAGATTCATCCAAGGGCCCTTAAGTTAGATTAACGAGTCAATGCACGATCACCAATGAACTCAAATAGCTACGTGGTTAATCTCCAAGTTTGTCGGTGGTAAACACGCGGTCTTGATTAAGCCGCGTGTTCCCATCGTTTTCAAGCCTTGCTTACGATCATTTAATTAATCATCATTGATAAGAAAAAGCTAATTTATTAGAACAATAAGTCAAGGAAATAACTATCAGAAGGAAACTTAATAAATATTACACCTATTATTTGAGT